CCGTGCTCTGGTCCTGGGGCGGCCTGCCCGGCTGCTGCCTGGTGTCGCCGGGACGCGCGGACAGCACGCGTGCGGCCCAGACCGCCGCCGCGTTGCTTTCCGGCCAGACCAAAGCCGCCGACACCCCGCGGCGAGTTCCCGCGGGGCGGGATCCCCACTTGCCCTCATCGTGGCTTAACCTGCTGGTCCCTGAGGTCACTCCTGGCCAGGCGGCGTCACCCAACCCTTCTTCAGCGTCATCAAACAGCGCCACGCCCGACTGAAGACGACACGGGGCGGGGGCGTCGCGGCGGTCCGGTCAGTGTCCACGCCAGGCTCTGACCCCTGTCCTGTTTCTCAGTTTGGGGCAACATGTCTACATGTGCCAGGTGCACGCGTTGCACGCTCACTGCAGCCCGGCTTCCCCCCTTCTCCGCGGCACCTTGGGGCAACGGCGAGCTTTCCCGCTAACCCTGACGCGCACGGGCCCTCCGCGCAAGGACGGCCGCGGCCCTGGGTGCTGAGGGCCGGAGACAGGGCCCCCCCACCCCCACCCCCCGCCCCGGAGCACGGCGCCCACAGACACGCGCTGTGTCGCGCGCAGGAAGGCCTCCTGGCTGGGGTCCTCGTGAGGCTCTTCCCACACACTCGCAGCTTGTCCAGGCCGGAACGGCTGAATGTCCGGAAACCCCCACTGGCTCTCGCTGAGCAGGGCAGCCAGCACGGGGACCCCCCTCGGGCCCGCACGCTGCGGGGTGCGCCCTGCCTGGCTGCAGTGTGCTATGTTGGAGAAAGAAGGTGGGTGCAGCTGGCCGAGCCTCTGCCCCAGTGGGGCAGTCTGTGGGGTCGGGCGGCTCGAGGACGCCCGTCCGAGGCCCCGACTGAGGCATGGAGGAACCGGGCTACGCTTCCCGGCTTCTGGTCCGAACCCGTCTATTTCTAGCTCTTAGGCCCTTAGGCCGGGTGAGGGACTCGCTCCTAGCAAGCGACGCTCCGAGTGACGCTCCCTTGCGACGGCAGTGCGTGGGCCCCTGGTCGTCTCTTGTTTTCCGGGCGGTTTTGTATTTTGGTCAGGGCCGTGATTTCTTTCCACTTCCAGCTACGTTTTCAGAGCCAGCCCTCCGCGCGGCCCCGCGGCCCCAGCCCCGCCACCCCTCTGCGGCCCGCCCGGCGGCCTGCGCTTTGATGGCGCCTCCCAGATCGGGGCCACAGCGGCTGCGGGGCCAGGCTGGGTCTGCGCCCTCGTCCTGCCCCCCCATCCTCCAGCCGAGGCCGCGCTGCCAGAGCGACCCGCCCGGGGCACAAGGACGCGGCTTCACAGACACTTGCTTTACTCACTGTCTTGCCAGCTCACAGACGCCAAGGTGCCCTGCCCGCCCGGGCGCCGCGGACCTCGGCGAGGGCAGCCCCCCGTTCCCGGGGCCGCG